TCCAGCCTAGGCCATTCTATGATTCTAATTAAGGAACAACAGCAGCCAACTCCAGCTAAGTCTCCACAGGCATCATGAAAGCAGTATCTGCACATGGACCAGTTCTGTCTGGGAGTGTAAACCCCTTTCCTTACAAAGTGCAGCTTCCCAGAACAAAAGTTGCAACTCAGTAGCTGAAACAAAATTTTAAATTAACAGGTTTTAAGCACTTTATATCTAGTGCAAAGTTAATGAAAAGAGGTTATAGTTCCAACATCAACTCTGGACATAAGTTGAAACATCAATTCTGATGCTTTTATCTACTTTTACTAGTGGAGATACTAAATATTAGCTATGAATTGAAGAAAGATGACTGGACTTCAAGGGAAGTTGCTACTTTCTTACTGATGGCCATTCTCAGCTACTTGAACAGCTCAAAAAAAACCAACCCAAAACCAAGCCCAAAATCCAAGCGATAACTTGCTTAAACTCTGACACTAAAATAGTGGTCGACCCTTCCAGAGTGTAAGTCAATTTAAACTGAGAAGAGATGTATATGCAATCAAGAACTGAGGATGAAATTGTACATTCAGGAGTCTGGCCACCTCATTGTAAACGAGGTTCTGCACCTACATCTATTCATCTTTGCATAGCTCTTGAAGAGACCAGAGTCTAAGTATGCATCACATCTAGATTTTAGAGTGGTCGAGTACAGGCGACATCACTTGCAGCATAAGCATGTCCACTTCATAAAACGTCTCTATAGCACCATTACCAAGTAACAAATAGTCCTGAAGCACAAATCATCCAGCATTTAAGGCAAATAATCTCACCATATGGTATTTTTACCTTCCTAGTTCTCTGCAGCCATATACAAGCCTTTTCTCTTCTTCTGTAAATGCACATGGTCACCTTCTACTTCAAGTTCTGCACTGCTGTATTTACTGTTCCCATAACTCACCACACTGCAAAGCCTTGAGGCAGACAGAAGAAATTACATCAGAGGCAAACTTCATCCCAAAGGGAAGCAATGCCTGCACTCACTATGTTGGTTGAATTTGTGCAACAACAACTCCAGCATGGGTCAGAAATGGGTAAGAAGCAGTTCAGCGCTCTACTTGTTAGAAAGGCTGCAAACACAGCACTAATATTGTTACACTGCTGTTAAAAAGACATTGTACACAATGCTTTTGATGTAAACTTCAGCACTGTAAGCAGTATTTACTGACAGACATTTACAGTAGTCCTACCAGCCTAATGCATTTATAGGCCACCGAGTTCTAAACTGATCATCTCAATGCGAGAATGACCTAATGACACCAGTGGAGCTCTAGGAAGCCAATCTGATTAGGTGTACAGCAAGTCCCAGAATGCCCTCCAGTGGAAGAGATGAACAAGTAATGACAGGCTCTCATTTCATGATCTGAAGGTAGGTCTCTTTTCTCTTGTGGTTTTGTTTGTTGTTTTTCTCTTGAACACAGTTTCTGCCAAATCAGCTAAACATGCTGAAAGGAACACAAATGCCTTTCACTGTATAACCCACCTCATGACTGTCTTGTAGTTTCCAGAAAGTCACAGCCAGGAGATCTCGCTTAATGCAAGATGTGCTGCTAGCCACAGCTCTGAGCTATCAGCTCTTACAGAAGGACATTCCCACCAGGTGGGAAGGATGTGAAAACAATAAACTAGTATTTTATGAACATGCAAGGAGCTCTATTGTTTGTTCAACTTCATCTCAGAAACAACACAAAATACTTACGGTAGAAGAAAAGGTACAGGGATTTGCCAAAAGATACATTTATACTCTGAGGATGAGATGTAAGTATTCAAAAAATTCTTAGACAGCTATTTAAGTGCTGCGCTTTACACAATAATACCACTGAGATGCAAAAGCTTTTTATTAGGTGAGAGATTAGCAAAATTCAGCACTTCCACTAATCATTATCTTTGATAAAGTCAGATGCCTAAAAACCTCTATTAGCTGGCTGGATATGCTAGATTTAGTTCTTGTTAGAACAACTACAATGCAACTTGTTAGAATAGATGCTTACACAAAGCTATGCTGAGGAAGTAAGAGTACACAGCCCAGCAGCCAGCAGTGGGGTAAGCAAAAGACCAAAATACAAGAGCACCACAAGATACCTCAGACACCACCATTCATAGAGTCCACGAGACACAAGATCAGAGAAAATACTAATTTGCATTTTTACGCTCTTGTCCACTTTAGCTTCTTAAAGCCATTATGTGCACCTCCTGTAAGATCATTGTACAGTAGCACCAACACTGGAAAGTCATCCTTTAGTTTCTAACACAAAGATGAATGGGAAACAGAGATTACCAAGAAGAGGAGAGAACAAACGCTGTTGTCATTGCTGGTGAAAGTTGCAGTGATTTAAGACAGAGCCCTTGCACACTGCTTCATGCAGAATGCAGGTGGCAGCATAAGCACACCAGTTTACAGCTTTGCCTCTGCATGAAGACCAGCCAAAATCTGTGACCTGGTGACAGTCAATGTTCAGTCTCACACACAAAGAGCTCCCTAGCAGAAAGGGAAAATATGGAGTCTTCCATAGTCAAAACACATGTCCTACAATACAGTCCAGCAGTGCCATAGCCCAGACTTTAACTCAGCTGACATACTACTAAAGCACCAGGGATTGTTCTATCACTGTTTTAGTTCACGTCACTACACACTCCAGCTGATTGCTGCATGTTGTTTAAGCATTACACTGGTCAGAGTCATCCTGCTCTAAGTGTTGCAAGACCAGTAGTACCAAAGTTGCTAGACAGGTTTTATATGTTCATACCTAAGTCTTTATTTCACACCAGCTTGCCAAAAACAAACTTCTGTTCTCACAAGTTCTGTTTCTCTGTTCTTCTCAGGAAGTAAGGTAAGTGGAAGCCTAAATTAATTTTTGTAGTGTAACTTTAAGTGCTAACCTTTGGACGGTCTTCCTTTTTCAAGGCTACTGCTTCCAGTTTTGCTTCATACTCCGCTTGTACTTGGTCTCTCTTCTTCAACACATTCTATGGTCAAGAGAAAAAAAAAAAAAAAGAGTTGTAGGGATACTCTTGCTCCTTCCACCCCCAGCCTCCAGGAAACTGCAAAGTGATACAGCTTAAGAACTAATTCAGCCTGAAGTCAGCCTTTCAGACTCACTTTGTCCTATTTTACAGAATTGAGGAAGTAGCTTTTAAAAACAAAGAGCACTTGCTCTCCAGCAGCTGTCAGGGTCAGATAACATTCAAGTTTTGGACAAGCTGGAGGCATGTAAGATAGAAGCTGTCATGTAACCACGAACATAGCCCTGACTAAGTAAATACAATTTATCAGTTGACTTATTATTAGCATGAAAAGGACATAAAAAGAAGCATCAAAGCTGTCAAAGAGTAGTGCAAAGCTTCCGGTATCCTCAAGCAGCAGACAGACAACAGCGTGGGCCAAGAGACAGGAAAGTACACAGAAGCTATTACATCTCTCTTCACTTGCAAAGCCTCCTTAAAGTCCTTTATAGCAGGCTGTTTACATTCTCGTATTAGAGAAAAAAAAAAAAGCTTTCCTTCTAGATGAGCTGGGAGGGTTTGGTTGTCAGTTTAATTTAAAAAAAAAAAAAATTAGGAAAAGCACAATTTAAGCGAAAAGCACTGAACTACCTGAGTGGGTTTCACAAGTAGTAAACTTTTATTGATAAGAGTATTCTCAGCATAGACGGCAAAAGATGCTACCCTTATCTTGTACTACATCCACGGTCAAGATCTCCTCTAAGGTTATACAATAGTCTTACAATACAAAAACAAGCATAGAAATTAGTCTTTTTAAGAATATATGACTAAAAATAATGCAGGTTTGTGTCTGTAAATAGTCATTTCAATTAAAGGAAGTAAATAGCTATTTTAACAGTTTCAGACAAGGCTAGTAAAGCGGGACTATTTATGTTCACTGCTGTCTATAGAAAACCTGTTTAAAAGAGTGGTTCTCTCTTGCCTAGATGAACTATCAGAGCTCTGTTTCTTATAAATGTACAAACCCTCCATCTATTAATCATTATCTTCCCCCTCCTCTCTGTTAAGCCAAGGGAAGAGCACCAGTGCAGTTGCTCTAGACTAGAGATAGAAGATATTGCAGTCAATATTCTTTCTTAATCTCAGTCCACGATACACGGAAATGGCACCCCATCCACAAAAATAGTGGCTATTTTGTTTTAGGAAAAAAAGGCAAACTGAAAAATTCACCTTCGAAAGCTCAGCTCTCCCTTTTGTCTCCCAATGGAGGAAAGCAAGCACGCCACTGGTCCTATTTGCTTGAAAAAATACAACACTCCCTTTCCTTTTGGAATTTAAGCAGCTATGTGGAATAGCCCTTAAGTCCTTGTGGTTACCAATGCAACAAAAGCTTGAGAGATTTTAACAAGTATTTCTACTTTGTATTCCCTCTTGAACCCAAGTCAACCAAAACTTCTCAGAAAAGCCACCACCTCCAGCAATTGCATTCAGCCTCCTGGAACCTGGAGTTAGTGCAGTACGCTGGATCTGTACCAGCAGTAGATATTGATTAACACGTATTGGCAGACTAGATTCAAAGGGCAGGTGTCTTATTTCTCCTTAAGTGCTTAAGTCCACCCATTGTGGACCACTTACAAGATGCTTCTGAATACAGCTTTAAGTATCCATCCACAGCTGACCTGTAAGTGATCAGAAACATATTGCTTTCCCTTTCCCTTGTCCCATATATGCGTAAGGAAATGTTTCCTCACATCTCCAGGCAATCTCTTCTAAGTTCTATACCAATGCATTAACTCTTCAGCAGCTCCTCAGAAAAGCTCTGTACCAAGTATCCCCAGACTTACCACAGCCCATGTAATACTTCCACTAGTTAAGACCCCAATTAGAAGAAAAAACAATTAAAGAATAAAAATAATTTTTAAAGTTGGAAGAAACCAAACAGAAAAACACTCATACACCACATTTCAGTTATCTGGAGACAGAACTAAACCACTGATCTCTACACACACAAGACTTAGCTTGTTCTCAGTGAGGCAGGTCCTTCCCCATTTCGTGTGTTTAGCTGAAATATTTCACTTTGGTCCCCATCTCTGAAGAAACTTCAAGAATTTGCCATCAGCCTCCTTTCTCAAGCTGCAGTCCTATGCCATTTGCACACCCCATAGCTTCCTACTACAACTAGATGTCAAAGAAGTACCTTTATTTACTGTTCTCCTTTAGAGAGACAGCTATTCATGTAGTGCTTGCTTTAAACATGCATTAAAAGTAACATCCAAGCACATAGCTGGGGATCACATAATCTGAGAAGCCATTCTGGCATTGTTAAGCATACAGAGTCCGCATAACATTAGTATCACCACTGAATTATGTAGAGCTGAGCTCACTCTCTGCACGTGCCACCCTGGGGAACATCAGCATACCACAAAAAATGTGGTACCACACATTTGCTGACAAGGGCCTCACGGCACCAAGATTCGATGTATCATCTTGCTATCTAATATATGGCCTATATTTCATAAAAGGTTTCTCCTAGATGCTATTAGCAAGCCTACAATGCCAGCCTCTCCTCACTTCTGTAGATCTTTCAAATGAACCCAGAGATGGGGCTTCCATGGAGTCAGACAAATTTGCCTGAACCAGAATCACTGGGCTTTGCCTCCATATGTGCACTTCTTTCAGGCTGCCCTCCTCAAGTACGAGACACTAAGGAGAACATTCATCTCTAATACAATAAAGAAAACCTGGCAGTTCTTACCCTGAAGAACATTCACCCAGCTAGAGACTAAAAATCACATTCCCATACCCATACCTGAAGTGCAGTCTGCAATAGAGAAAGCTACTGAGGTTGCATTGAACTCCTGGTACCTGAACACTTACCTTCTATCAAATACCCTGGTCCAAAAGCTGTGCTTTAATTTCACAAACAGAACCCACAGCAGCTGATGAATATAACCACACTGCTAGTGAAGAGGACAGCCCTTTCAGTAGAAAGCCTCCTGGCACTCCAGGAGTAGCCTCCTTTACAGTTACTCAGTTTCATGGAGTCTGGTAAGACAGTTCTGTAGCAGCTTACTGCAGAAATAGCAACAGACTGATATTTTCCAGCATAAGAAAGCCACATTTGGTATGAACTGAGAGATTTCAGTTTTGCTGTTTGGAAGGGAATGAAAATAGGAACAGTCTGCTTCAGCTAGCAATAGTTTTTATTCTTGATTTTCAGAGAGAATAAAGCTAATAAGATGCCTAATCTGGACCCTAAGCAGCACAATACTTATCCGCCATTAACTGCTAATTTGCAAGTGTGATTTCTAGATCCAACTAGTTCCAAAGCACCAACACAATGAGAACATTCAGATCATTACCAGAAAAAAACTGACATGAAGAGCAAGTCTTTTAGGGCACTAGAAAGTCAACAGTCTAAAAGTTAAGCTAAAAAGCAAGCATTTCTTCAGCTGAAGAGGTACTTCAGACAGTTAAACACCACTTACCACAGGGAGAGCTGCATTAAAGACTCACAGATAGACTACCTGTTGGCTTGGAGATTGCACTTAGTGTCTGCCACCATCTGACAAGATATGTTTTAGGACGAGGCTGTCTGCAGGCCAAAAGGTAGTCTAGCTGCAAGTCTTTAATGCTGCTCTTCCTGTGGTGAGTAGTGTGTAACTGTCTGAAGTACCTCTTAAGCTGAAGAAACCCCAGCTTTTAGCTTAAAAGAAAAAAAACACAAAACAAACAACTTTGCTCTGAGAACATTTGTAAAAAGCACCTCTCACAACTCCGCTTGCCACTTTAGATGCCATCTCCAGCAGGCCATGGCATTTGTAGCATCAAAAGTCAAATGTTCGGGGCTAAAAGCTTTAACGACTAGCCTCATGTTCCCTTTATTTGTAAGCAATCACAGAGACCCCTTCCTACAGAATCAGAATAAGGTGAAGTCTGAACATTCTGGGTCAAGGCTTCCAGTGACAGCTCAGAGTGTTCCAGCAATACTTGGTGTTAACAGGCCTGTAAAGAAAACGCTCCTCGTTTATGCTGGGGTCAATATCATGACTACAAAAGCAAAGAGTATACTCAAGGAACCAGCGCTAAGCCTTCTGGAAGAATACTTCAGCCAGGCAAGACAGAAGCCGTACACCTAGCCATCTGAAGCTGGAAGAAGAAACCTGCAGCTGAGTGTTTCAGTTCTCAGTGCGAGAACTATAAAATGACTAAGATTGAACACGGTAGTCCTTCTCTGTCTTATACTGTAGATTTACAACAGGCTATTAGGTCTCTGAAGGAGTGCATACTATAGTCTTGTAATGGTTGTTCTGACTGGAAAGTCATCAGAATGAATTTGTCTGTTAGTACCCTATAGAGGGATTACTAACATACTGTACCATGCACATGTGGTGAAAACCTCTAACAGCCGTCTTAAGAGTCTTTGGTTTCAGTTTTTAGTGCAGTTAGCAATTATTTTTGCATGCAACAGGATTGACTTATCAATGTTTCTCTAAGAGAGTAAAAGCTACACTAAGGTAGCTTTTTTTTACATCTGCATAAGCAGTACAATATCAAGTTCTTAGAGAGATTAAGATTCACAAAACAACGTCCTTAAGCAGTTAGTTGGCATGCAGAACTTAGTGGTTCCAAAGATGACATGGTTTGAAAAAGAGCCATCCAACCCTGCTACATATAAGTGACAGAATCTGTTAATGCTACCTTTACTACAGGGCCAGACACAGACCCAGTAGCAAAGAGCCGAGCCACGACTGACTTTCTACTAATTCAAAGGGAAGATTCTAGGCAGCCACAGAATGTCTACTATAGAGCACCACCCAGCCCTCTGAAGGAGCAACTCTTCAATACTCTTGCGTGCACCTCATTACCAACCTTAGTTTGACTGAATAGCAGAGCAGATAATGCTACTAGCGCAGTACCCTGCTACTAAACATAACTAGTTTTGCATTGATTATGAAAACATCCTCCTACCTAATGTATTGTTTACTTTCCCACTTTTCCCACCACCAGCCTTCTCACTGTTAGAAAGAACTTGCTGATCATTCCACGCAAATGAGATGACAGCATCTTCTGCCACAGGACTCTGTACCTTCATTGACTCTGAGTACAACATATATTCCCTAAGCACAGGCAGGAAGTCTTCTGTCATGTCTTCACTGAGTTCTTCAAGAGCTGTGCAGCAGTTTCCAATACAGGCAGACACCCCTTCCAGTGGCTCCGATAGCTCAACCTCCATCCCTCCCCAGGTTGAATAAACAGGTCCATATTCTCGAAGTTCCACCAAGTATTCTGCAAGAGGCAGATGAAAAAGATTAACAGAGTAGGAGTGAGGCACAAGCATCTGCAGACACACCAAAAAGGAGAAAATATGCACCAAGCTTGGCAAACATTAACTCCCCCCAAGATTCAAGTCTTGTATTGTGTTAGCATCTTAACAGATTGAGCTCTATGGCTACACAAGTGACAGGTCCAAGTCACCTCCTGCCTAACTGACCATTCCTACAAGCTTCCAATACAAAGACACCTGCATCTGTGCAGTATTCAAAGCCATTTTTCTTAAACATATGTAAATCTTGGCTCTGCTAAGACAGGTCTGTAGAGGTTATCTACATCTATGAATTCCATCTGTACTCCTCCAGATGGAATCTACACGCTTTTCTTCCTCCTAAAAGTCTTTCCAGAAATAACTCTAGTAAGAAAGTCAGTTGGTATGACAAGAACAACTTAAAATATTCGGGGACTTGAGCTAATATAAAATACTGTGCTAGGCTTTAAACCTGTTTTAAATGTGCAAGAGGCAGTAGATTTTGTTCTCTGTGTGTGGTTCATTACAGGCCATTAACATAAGTTGTCTTGTTCATGCCATCAGCTAGAACGAGATGCAGACCTAAGCATTATGATAGAGCACCTTGTGTCCTTACCCAACTGCTCCTTGATAATTCGTTGTGCTATTCTGTCAATGGTACCAAGCTTTAGAGAGAATGTGTCTAGATACTCCCCAATGGCTGCAAACTCCAAAGGCCGACTTCTTAATTTGTAGCCTCCTGTGACATATTTGACAGATTCCCCCACCTTTGACAGTAATGCCATTCCTTGCTTTTTGTAGGCATTAAGATCCTAGGAAGTTAAAAAAAAAACAACAAAAAAAATACATAGTTCAGAAATATTTCACTTGCATAGTGGAAGGTGAATACAGAGAAGGATACATTTCAGTCAAGATCAAATTTTGGGAAGACAAGAAGTTACATGTGACATAGTCTTATATAACACCTCATTTTTGTACAAGTTGTACAGTTAAGCACAGTTTCAAGACTACTTCTAGATGGGATTAAACTATCCAGGAGAATAGTACACTCTAAACCACTAACTGGTCCAGCTTTGCACATGGCCAGACCTTCCTATATTCCTGTACTTTCACCAGGGAAGTAGTGATATTATCATCTCACCAATACTATTAATTCCATTCATCCACACATACTTTTAAGACACAGTTCACAATGTTAGTATTATGCAAATTCACCAGTTGGCTCTGATGACCTAGTACAGAGCTATATAACGCATATTTATTTTGTCAGCAGCCTCCTCACACCAGCTGTACAGTCAGATAGAGGAAGGCCACATCCAGAAAGAGCACAGCATGGAGAGACTAGCACAACTCTCCTGCAACACAAGACTACAGCTCAGGTTGGGTCCAATGCAGCCATGTTGCCTGCATAGAAAGCTTGAAATCTCCTTGCCAGTGCTTTACATGTCAGCATAAATTAACACTCAGACAACCTATGTTAACAAGGTTGTTTACCTACAATCTTCATGGGATTTCACCTCCAGAGAAAAAAAAAAAAGTTTCTTTTCTTAGCCAAACTTCCAATCATTTTGCATTTTACTCCTTCCAGAGGGTGTCACTATTCAACATCTTAGAACAGGATAAAGAGCACTAACTAGATTAGGCTGTGTAGCCTGAGAAAGGGATGCTTTCAAACCAATTAGGCATGTAGAGGTGAAGACATGGTATTACAGACTAGACTAAGAGCTTCAGTGTTCTTAAAAAAAACAAACAGTCATCTTCAAAACACGTACTATGGTATTCTTTCCAAGTACTTACGCATAAGACAAATGTAAGTCAAACTAAGAGAACTTGACATCTTAGCAGCTATTATAATTTTGAATTACGTTTGCATTTAAATGCAGTGGTTCACTGACTCTTGCGTTCTGCCTGTCCTAAGCACTATCTGCAAGCAGGCATCAAAGACTTTTTAACTTAAAATTATTCACTCACTCTCTCAGGCATTCTGGTGTATTGCTGGTTCAAACAGGAAACAAGAAGAAAGGTTAGTTTCTCTTTTTCAACCAGGAGGTGGTCTCATGACTTTCTGCAGTAACTAAAATCTGAAGTCATAACACACTGAAATGACACCTCACAGCTACAATACATCAAGTTCCAACACGAGAGACAGCCAGAAAAAACACATATCCTTTTCCCTCAGCCTCCCTGGATGCTCTGTATTCTCAAAGCAAGCCCTTCCTGGTGCCGATGATAAGTCCCTCACTATTCATTTTATAGGGGTGGGAGAACAGGACTAAGTAGCTAAGAAAGTTGCATCATGCTTTGACAACTGAAAAGCAGAACAAAGCTATCTGACATTTAACTATCAATTAACAAATTCTGCACTTCTAGCTTATTTCAGTAGTTCAGCGTTAAGGGGAAATAAAAAGGAACTGGAGATTGAGTCTCACATTACCAGCTATCAGAGCTCAGATTAAGTGTCACATTTGGGTGAGCTAGTGTAAATTGACATTGGAAAGACGTGCTTTTACAGCTCTTCTCCTCTATCAGGTAAAACTCAAGCATGACTGTAGGTCCCCTTAGTCTTATTTAAAACAAAGTTCAAAAAACAGTCAGAGAAAACAGCAGTGTTGCTGGAAAAGTCACGCAGAAGCTGAGCATAAAGTTGTTGACTGAGAACAAACAAGTATGAGGTCTTTCTGCTTAGTTTTGAGGGCAACAAGTGCAGGCAGTATAAAAGGCACAGACAAGTAAAAAACTTGCAAGTTTTTGTTTAAGAGATCTCTCCTCCTCCACAAAAGAGGATTTTACAAAGCCTACAGTCTTCTAAATTCTCTTGCATCAGAGCAGTATGTTCTAGACACAGAGATAAAAACCAAGCAGGTCTGGAGAACTGAATCTGTAAATCTGCAGCTATCCTGCCCTTCGAGCAAAGGGAACCCATACAGTTGTCACACACAGGTGTCTATCATACACAACTCTGATATTTGAGGGAAAGTTCTGACCTGTACATGTAGTTTTACTAGTGCTTTTTTACCTTCATTTCAAGAGAGATGGCAAAGTTGCCTGTTCTGTTGTCCCTGTCAACAACTATGCTTGGAAGTTACAGGCTTACCTTGGCTGTGAGAAACACATTGAAGTGCTCATTAAAAGAAAGCACCGGGTGGTCAGTTATTCTCTTCAAGAATTTGTCTAATGCTTTCCTCCTTGTCTCCACGAACTCTTCTGAAAAGCGATCGACAACACCCTTCACCACAAATTTCTCAGGAAGAGGCTGTCAGAGACAAGCAAAATACACAAGATTCAAAACCCCAAAAACTTGCCTTCTGCTGTTTGGAAACATACAAATCAATCAACCTCCAGTCTTCAGAGGAATTGAAATGTTATGTTTGCTGACAGGAACCATATATTAGATAGGATTCAAGCCCTGCTCTGAATTACCCTTTAGTTGGTCTGTCCTAACACTAGCTATTCTACTGAGTGGCTTCAGCTGAGAGCCCCACACCAGTGAAGCCCAAACAATGCTCACACTAAGTACTCCTAGTACAGCTTAAGGCATTCTGCCCTACTGCTGTCCAGGTCCAAGCTTCAGCTCTAAAGGAGATGTCACCAGAGCTGTACACTATTCACTCCAGCAACACGCACACACATCCCCCAACGTTGAGGCAAGGCTGCTCAGTCCAAGGAAGTTCAGAAGATTTAGTAATTCTACTTAGTCATCTCTGCTGCATCCCTGCTTCCCATTCTGAACAACTCAGAGCTCCTAGGCAGTGAGGAGCCGCTAAGCGTTAGCAATAGCACTACACTGATTGAAGACAGACAAGTAGGCTTGACACACCAAATCGTCAAGTAGTCCAGGCTTGAGCCTTTCTGACACTTGCACACCATCATCTATCAACCTACCTTCCTCAGCATGTTTAAGTGACAAAGGTCTGCCAATATATTTACTCTTCCACTTTACTCCTATTCCAGCTCCACCAGTTTACCTCCATAGTACAGCTTAACATGCCTCCAGACTTCCTAGTTCTACAGTCCCTGCTGTTAAGGGTCCAGACTTCAAAATGTCACTGCAGATGGAAGATAACTGTTTAACCTTCAGCATGGTTAGTATCACCTCTACCACCAAATCTGCTTTTGTTCTCGCTGGACAGCATGGACTCCAAGATCAATACTAGTTTTTAAATTGTGCTTTGCATTTTATTCTTGTGAAACAGTCCACCCAGGCAGATAATCTGCTTACTCTCAGGCAAGCAATAACAACTGTTTTCACCCAATTCAGGAATCAGGGTTCTCCTTTGCAAACAGTCTTTGTCACCTGAGACCTGTGACAAAAGTAATTCAAAGAAAAAAATAAAGTGTATGCATATGCTTTTCCCACCATACTCTAGCTTATGTGAGATGTACATGAAGAATACACCTTCAAAAAAAAAAAAAACACCAAAAAACAACAACCAAACAAAAAAACTACCAACCACACAGCCAGTACGACTTAGCTGCAACACAGCTACATTTTGACCACGATATTTAATCCTTATAATTTGAGACTTATTATGCTTAAGATTCAGATCACTTATTCCAGTTAAGCCAGTGTAAGGAACACTCTAATTAAGACTTCTTCAGAAGAACAATGCTCAGTGCAGTATCCTTCAGCGAGAAAAGAAACCCTCCTTCCTTGCTTTGTAAACTTTAGCTGGGGCTCTATAGCATCACCTCAGCACCACATGCAGGAGGAAAAGTACCAGCTGGAAGACTATTTTAAAGAACCCTAGTTTCACCAAGCACATACAAACTGGCACTGAATAATCAGTAAAGTTTGAGCATGAGACCCACAGGAGCGTGCACTTCTATTACAGAGACTTCTGTCCTTTAACCTGGCTAGAGGAGCAGTTACAGTCCTTTACATTTTAGGCTTTTGGAGGTCCATCCCAAATCATCAGTATACACAGCTAGCAACTGATATTCTGCTTTAGCTGTGTGTTACTTGTCTACGTTAAAGTCTTCTATCTTAACAGTCTACTTTTCCCTGCTGTGGTATGTGAGGAGAGTTTACTGTAGTCAGAAACAGCTTAAATATCCAAATATCACCACACAAAGAAAAGTGTCTTGGCCATCATAGGTTTATCCTTCTAGTCTAGAGACAGGTGTGCTGGCATATTTACTGTTTGTTGAAAGAGCAGATTAGAATAAAGTCTCAGATGATTTTAGAACAAGGTAAAAATCAGTCACCAAAGAAATGAAAAGGAACTCATATTTAGTTTAGTTTGGGCTCTTAAGCGTATGCTATCATGACTCATTGCACTGAGAAGATACATCATTTGTTACAGAAAGATTTTAGGGACAGTCACTATACCAAGATTAGGAAAACAACCGCCTTTTCGTATTTTGTTAGATAGAAAGCCTTCAGGGATATTTTATCTCCAGTTAGAAATACAGATACTCTTCAATTGGCTTGAAACATCCTTTCAGAACACACCTGAGTCACAGTGCACCTGAAATTGCTTTTGCTTCTATTCCTCATCTACTTCTAGGCAATAAAAACATAAAGCGTTCAGCAATTTTGCCACCATACCACTGCATGGAGGAGATGAATAGGAAACTCCATAACTGGAAACTTGTCCATAAAACAGAAAAATAGGGCAGCCCATCCTTATGCTTCCAGGTTTTGCAAGAGAGGCACTTAAAGAGATTGCCTTGTTCTGCAGCTGGTTTCATGTCCAGTATTAGAGTCAGTTGTGCCACATTTGTCCTTCTGTATGAAATGAATTTCAGGCCACAGAAGAGCAGCTTGATTCCCTGGCTGTAACTCACCTACTACTAGACTGTTATTTACTGCCTTGAAGTCTTTGGCAAGCTTGTTAATACTCCCAAGAATCTGTAGAAGCTTAATCTTCAGAGTTCCAGCTGTTCAGAGAACAGGGAGAGAGAAAAGAGGGTCTGGGCAGCTAACACATTAATCTTACACCTCCACTTTCCCCCAGCAAGCTCACTTTCTCTTCTTCCTACTCCTCAGTAAACATATTTGCTGGCAGCTAGTGGTGTCACATGATTTTGTGAAGTACTTCTTATCTTTGAGAGACTGAGCTATTATTTCACTTCGAGGAAAGTCCCAGAGTAATTAAGGACTTAAATAGCTGAATAGAACTGAATCCTTCTCATATAGCCTAGTCCTTGCTCAGGGAGGGAGAGTAGAAACTTCTTCTCCATCTCAGATGGGTAAGCTAAGGCATGGTAGCAGTCTTGATACTTCCCCACAATTCACCTCCTACGGTTCTTTTTTAATTTCTTTATTAAAAGAGCTGATGGTGGTGACCTCACAGGCTTCCTACCTAATCAGATTTTCTACAGCATGAGAAAGACTGCCGAAGACCAAGCTCTTCCTATCACAAAAGGTGGTCAGACTACAAGCTTCAGTGATCAGAAAGGATACAGTAGTTTAGCTAGTCTCAGTAACTAAATCTCTGTCTACCGAAGGTATGCAACAGCTACCAAGCCAGAGGCCAAGTCTGTGCTAATAAATGTTAGCACATATAAAATCAGCTCAAGAGGCCATTTCAAAAACCGAGACTAGGACTCAGATACTCACAAATCTAGATGTAATAATTCAGCAAACAGATGAAGCATATTTCACTTACGCCACAACAAATGCAGTCATTGAGCATATTGCCTTACAGGAGGCTGTAAAAGCTCTCTTCTTGGGTGTGCGACCCAAGTAAAGTTTAAGCTTCATAATCATTCAAGAATGGGAAACTCTTCCCATTCCACTAAAAGAGAATTAAATATAATATGTAAATCTAAATATTAGAAGAGAATGAAGTACTGTATTTAAATCTACAAAGACATATCACCAAAACATCACCCTTTGAAAACAGATATAGAACTCTCCTTAATAGCAGATTCTTGCTTACTACCTACGGGAATGAGATGCGTTGGCTGAGACTCTTCCAGCTTGTTTCTCAACCAGTCGAAGTCTTGGTACCGCCGGCGAACAGAATACTCTGGCAAATCAAACTCTGCTCGTGTGGTCTGGAAAAGAACATGACATGCTTAGTGTGCAGCAAAACCTCTCACTCCAGAGCTTAGCAGTAAATGCAGTACAGCCATCACTGGCAAGAGTGAGGCCAGACAAGCCTTGCGTTGAGACTCCAATCCCAAAATCATGTTTGCAGCCAGAATGAGAAAGCAATCCTCTGGAAGGAGTCTGTGGAGAGGAGAGTACTCCACATCACATTAACCTCTTGGCAGTTACAAGTTAGCATGGAAGACTGTATAAAAGCTTCATTCTAAGGATGAGGCCATCAAGAATTAAAAGCAATGGTATTTAATGACTCATTTATTCTATTACATGCATTATCCATAGGTGAAAAAACATTCCACCGCTGCCTTGTATTCCAGAAGTAACAAGCTTATTACACTCCTTCCAGGTTAAAAGACCAACACATAAGAGATTGCTGGGTTTACCAAGGAACGGTTTGTGCTGGTTTCTGAGAGGAAAAAACAAGTTTGTCTATGTTAAGTTCACGTATGCCATATCAGTACGTTACATTAAATCTTTAAAGTTTTCATTCTTTAGGGCAAGGAGTTAAACCTGGAATTCCAAGATTGAGACAGAAGGTAAACATGCAGTGAAACTCCTGGCAAATATTTTGTACAGTCCTCAAGCAGTCCATATGCTGGACAGGTGACTGTGTGGGGCTGCTTGCACAGCACATATTGCGACTGCCTAAAAGCACTAATGAAACTGCACACCAACTAGGAGTCTGGTATTGTGATTGCTAACTGGAAGGTAGATGGCCTTTATCTTTACGTCCCACTGCAATGCACAGCTCACAAAGAAGCCCAGAAAGCAATACTTAAATTATTTGCAGCATTTTGCAATGAAAGTGATGCTGCAGCACAAGCACGCTATATGCCTACAGCTAGACATGAAAATCGCTGCACTCTGGAGAATGCACCAGCTCTACTACCTTTGAGCTAGCACTGAATCCAGCACTAGGCTGCTTTGCTACTGCTACTACTACAACAGCCTGGTGAATTCCAGCAGAGATTTTATATTTACTTCCAGACTCAGAGCAACTGCCCCATCTTTGGAAAAAGCCACGTAATAGCCTTTAAATACAATCCACCTCTTCAATTGCTCTCTGGATGACTCCAGCTCTTCAGTTACTGCACATTACTCCCACCAATGCCCACTAGAGATCCTATCCAAGTTCCATACCAAAAATCACTTTCTCCAGAGAAGTTAGCAACCTTAACACACTATCCACAGAACATTAGCTCTAGCATGCTATAAACAGCATGCTAAAGCAGTGTTATGTATGAATTGGCTTGGTTCCACAAAAGGAAGGAATAGAGAGACAGAAGAAAAAGTAATCAAGCTCACCTCCTCTCTCCTTTGATCTGCTACCTCTGGTAAGAAATACACATGTTAGTCCATGGACTAATATAATCAATGCTCACCAATGGAGTGCTTGTGTTCATAGATGAGGAAATACCAAGACAGATATCCACCGCAGATTTCTGCTTTACTCAGCTACACCTCAGAGTAACACCAGTTTATTTAACACTATATATGAAATTTCTGAGCTTTCATATGAATCATTTTCACTTGTTTTGAGTAAGGGACTGAGCGGCATTATGCTAAACAAGAAAATTCACACCCATAGACATCATCAGCCCTCATCAGCCAGTAGTGCTGACTGCTTTGCTCTGTTAGTAGATCAGTTACACCTCAGCCTTGCAGGAGATGACCTGAAAAAAAAAAAACAACACAACCCACAAACCACCCAAAACAAATAAACAAGAAAAATCCCGTATTGACTTAGTAGCAGGGAGAGCTTTTGTGAGCTGTCACTGGGCAAAAGCCTCTTAAAAGAGATCAAACAGTGAGTGAATGAAAGTAATCAGGATGTATACACAGTACAGTGTCTTATCGTGTAGTATGAGGATGAAAGTGAAGTCTCACATCTGTTAGCACCGAGAGTCTTATTAACCAGGATTCTCCTAACAGTTAAGAAAAACTGTATAGGTACTATTTAGTCTAGCAGTAGGAAAGCAGGGTAAGTTCCAGGGCACAAACTTTATATTAGTTATCATTCATCTCTAGTAAATTGATCCTCCTGCCTTTACATCACAAAAAGATTTGCAGTTTCCCCATGTTATCAGGTTTTGCTCCTCAGAGGGCAGCAGACGAAGACGCATCATAGTCATCAGTATTTGAGTGTTTGCTGCACAGACTGTCAAATCTAGACAGCAAATAAGCTTTTCAAAGACTATTTGGACAGAACACAAGGGCTCTTCAAGGTTTTAATGACACCTCACTAGCACTGAGAATTTGTATCTCATATCAAACCGCACATTAGCTTAGCACAAGTTATTTTTTCCAGACTGCACACAAAAGGGAAGAGGGTCTTGTCACTGTCCAGGGACAGCAAGTAAAATTCCTGTGGTTTTGACACAACTGATTTCCTCCTGCTTTCTTAATAGTATCTATAAATCTGTTCTTGCAAGGACATGTGTTTCTCCCAAACAAAGGTAAGAAACTCATGTGGCAGACCTCAACCTCCCAAAAATAACGGGAAACACACTTCCAAGGATTTACTGAAGACTCCAGCACAGTTCCACTAACTCATCACTGCAGTACTCTGGGCTCAGTTTTACTTACTGGAAAGCAGGCAGGGTTACAGACAGTTTTGCCTCTGTTGTGGGAATAGTTTTAACCTGAAGCAATATTAAGGCAATCACCAGGTCTTGGTCTTGTGTAAGATTTTTGTCTTTCCTGCAAGGAGTTAGCAGTCAAACCTAAAGCGAGCCTGTGATGAATACACGGAAGTATTTTTGTACTCGTAGTCTCTTACTCGCCACATCTGATTAGGGACTCCCCTCTGTGTTACTATTTCAGCTGGGGCAAAGTTTTCAACTAGAAAAAAATGAGAAAGGCAGAGAGGGGAAGGGAGCACGTTTGGTGTTCTTAGCAGTTCATCGTTCTGTTTTCCTCAAATAGTTTAGCCTACCTGAAGATGAGATTATACCTGCTCCTTTCTAGGCATCAAGCTGTTTCATGTGCTCAGGTAATCAGTCAATGCATACACTGGAAGCAGGACGATAAGGGTGAGGAAAAAACCAAACAAGACCTCTACTTCAGCGCTGAATGCTTTGAAAGCCTCTCCCCTCAAGACTGCTGGGCAACCACATGACTCTGAGGAATGGCACACAGCTGCTCAGATCTCCACAGGTAAAGGCACAGAAGCAGTCTCCCTCCCCTAAAGAGTACAGAAGTGAAGCTTGAAGTACACTTATGTTTCCCTCAGGAGATATGACTACATAACACAAGGGTAAACTTTAAGTTCCACCTCTTTCCTCAGAAAGATCTGCTTCATAAAATCCCTCTAGAGCGCACATCAGTCTAAAGAGCACAAAGCTGTATTATCAAGAACACCCAAGACACTTCAATCATCACAGCCAAGATCAATTAACCTCCAGCACAATTTTCACTCACGTTTTTGGTTTCATTAGCCTCCCTGCGTAAGAAACTGTTGTTAGCAAGCAGAAATCAGTTTATTCAAGTGCCTGGGTCTGAATCACTGCCCTCATTGTTTTGGGGATTCCCACCACATTCTTCAAATGCACTCATCCAGAAGACAGGCTGGGGAATGCTACCTGGCTCTCACTAGGAAGCAGAGAGAGCAGCACAAGCAGGACCAAGTTTTGGACCTAATACTTTGAACCCTTTCCTTAGGCATGACCACCTGCTGGCAAAGGTATCAAGAAAAGAGAAGTCTGGGGTATACCACAAGACTTTTTTTTTTTTTCTTTTTTTTTGCTGCTATGATGAAGGACCTTTCTAAAGAAAGGAAAAAAAACCAGAACACCCACATGTCAAAATAAAGGATGTGGTCAGGTTACACTTTTGCCTACAGTGGTGTCCAGCCACAGCCATGAGCACACATTGCAGCACTAGCAGTTGCATTCCCCCATTCCACATAGTGATGCTGCTTTTCACAGCAGGCAAGTCTTCAGCATAACTCATTCTAGGTCCTATGCTTATCCAAACCTTTGAGGTTCCAGCAGCATTCTTCACTGGAGAAAATAAAAAAAGCAGCCATCTCAGCAAGAATAAGCCATACGATTAACACTGCTAGTCTTACAAACAGTCTTTTTTTTTTTCTTTTAAACAATAGCAGACAATGCTAGAGGTGCTGACCCTAGGGGTTAGCCAGAAGCTTACAAGAATAAATCAAAAGAGGTGAGGCTTTCACGGTGATAAGAACAGACCATGCACTGTTTCGCAATAGCATTGTAATGCTATGATACAGCAGATTTATGTGCTACATTGAGATCCTGAATAAAACAAGTATTAACAGACAGCCAGCTGGGCAAAATCGGAAGTACAGGATAATGGTTTTTTAAACCTAAAAAATACTTTAACCATGTTCCAGAGTTGTTCTTTATGAAGGAAAAGTACCTTTCTACGAACGCAGGTTTCCAAGCTAAGGCACATTATTAGGGTGTCACTTTGCACAGATCCTTTATCTTGACAGAATAAAGTCTAATTTAAGGGAGAAACAACTTTAGCCAATCCTAGCCATTTGCCTGTGGAAAGTTGCATCTCAGTTTGTGCTTTCTGTTCCTTCTGATCGTGTAAGAGCTGATCGCTAAGTTGCTCCAGTTAGAAAAAAGTTTCCTACGATACTTTTTAGCATTTTCTAGTAGCTAAAATATAGCATTTCTTGCAAGATTAAAACACTTAAAGCACCAAAGAATGACAGGTTTACAGTATGTGAGCAGTAAGAGGTAGCTGCTATTTTATAGAAATCAAATTTTTTCCTGTGTAGCCTCAAAGTGGAATTTTGGAACAGTCAATTTAAAAAAAAAAATAAATAAATTTGTGGCCTGTAAAGGCTTCGTTGTCTCAAAAGAAAATGTTCTCTCCAGTATATAGTGCCATTTAAGTAGACCAGAAGAATGCTAAGCTTTTGGGACACGTGGATCAAATATATTCCTAGTGAAGTTAGTGAATACATTTTGCCTTGGGTAACTGTGATCCCAAAACAAATCTCAACATCACCTAGGAGATGATGCTGATGAGAATGAGCTAGTTAATATTTGTGAGCACGGTGGACTTTTCCGATCACTTTTCTAATTAGATTGCATTAATGACTGAATTGCAACACATTGGAAAAATCTCTAGCATACTTCTTTTGGTAGGTAGTAGCATTCTTAGTTCTAGCAGCAGCTACACAGCCTTCTCTACCAACAATTGTATGTTTACAGGTGAGGATCAAGATGACAATTTAAGCAAGTGGCTGACAGATAAAGTGTAGTAAACACTTAAAATAAGCTTAAAGTATTTCAGAAAAGGATAGACACAAAATGTGAGATGATTAACAGTGAATCAACAAAAAGGCAAATCTCCCTTCAGGGGAGGTAACTGAAACCAAATGGGTGTCATTACTTTATATGAACAAACTTTCAAGTTAAGGAAAGAAACTGGCCTTGCAAGTTTACAACAGTTCTCCTTAAGAGTCAGAGAAAAAAAAAATCTAAGCTGACACATTAAAAGTTTTGCATAGTTTCATATATCCTGAAGTAGTAACAGTTCTGGTAAGAAAAGTCACACCTTCACCACACTCACAAGGTACTGAAAGACACTAAGTTCCTGTCCTAAAGATAAGGAAATACAATGCAAGGCATAAACATCCAGAATGTGACCTAAAAACAACTCTCCAAAGAAAAACATACTAGGAAAAGGAGAATGTTGCTTTGTACCTTTGTTGTAACCCTGTATGTGATATATGTCTCCATTGTGCACACGTGTTTTTTGGGATCATCAACAGTAACAAACAGGTCTCTAGTTTCCCCGTCCAAGTCATCATCCAGTTGCAGTCTGTTGAGAAGAGATGAGGAGGAGGCTGGGCTAGAAGTGTCCACAGGTGTGCCGTTGGGTAGACTAAGATCCTGCATTGGAGAGGAAAAGATAGCAAATCTTTAGTAAGTGAATAGATTCACTGTAAAGCACAGTGCATCTGTTCTCAAAGATGCCACCAAAAAGCTTCACTTGTCCAGGTGCTGCTAGAGGGTCATATTATAACGTCTGTTATTTCAGCAGCTCCACAGATCACCCTTTTCCAAGACACTTGGGAAATCGCCTAAGGACCAGGCTTTGACCATTAGGTTGTTCTACTGTTCCACAAGCTGAAGGGAAAGCACATTACTACCATACGTCCCTTTAGTATGGTGCAACCTGCTTTCTATTCGTGAGAAAGCAGAAGTATTGCTGAACCAGTAGTTCCTGGTGAGACTGAACCAGCTAACTCTGAAAACAAAACAGCTAGGCAAATCAAGAGACCTACTTACAGGACAGGCTTCAGACAAAGTGGCAACAGTTCAGTCAACTAGAATGCAGTCAGCCTTTGCCTCTGGAGACTCCTTCAGTAGAGGAAGAAGGGCAAACTGTATCAGAGGCTTCCCATCCAGTTCATGCACTTCCAAGCATGTTGACAGCACTCAATTGCCACCACCACACTACACGACAGTCACAGACCATACATTCCAGCACCACTGTCTGTGCACACCTCCTTACTAGAATCCTAAGGCCAATGAAAACACTATTTTTCACTTGGAGAGGTTCTGGTTCCCACCCTCTCAACTTCAAGAGTGCCTAGGAAAGACAGAGGATAACAGAACCAGCAAGTGGCTATTTTAGGAAGCCTGTGATTCCTTGAAACTCACACAGCAGTAGGGGAAAAAAAAAAAGCCAACAACTTTAAAGCTAACTTGGTATGTTAAGTCTCACACTTTGATATAGAACAACTACTCCATACAGATAGTGGTTACTCCACACAAACATCACAGCAACTTCACACATGTTCTCTGCTCTGGTTTTGTAGCAGAGGGAGCTGACAGCATATGACAAATTGTCAGATGTTCCAACATATTGTACAACATTATTAACAAGTCTCCAAAATCCATGGCTCTTCAGAGTAAAGAAGAGGTCTTCCATTTGTTTTAACTAGTAGCACAAGAACAGATTTACCAACAGAGTGTTTCCCTTGTAGGGACAAATGTTCCTCTGTTTGCTAGACAGACAAACATCACCACAGCTAAGCAGCACGTTAACTAGAAGTGTTTTGGTTTTAGAATTACTGCTTACCCCTCAGTTTCACACTGTCTTTAAGTAGCTAAGTGAAATGTGTAATCTTAGCTAAACAACCCTGTTTCAGTGAGATCCTCTTTGTCCTTCAGTATTCTTCAGGCAACGATGGTTTATGTTCCAGCAGGACAAGGGTAGTCTCTGTCTTCAAAAGCAGTCCTCCTGTGTTCAAGGATTCAGAATCATAGGCAAGAGCTTTAAGTTAAAGCTACTTACAAGGTCTGCCTCTGACAATGGCTAAGAATAGGGCTAAGTTTCTTTGTTACAACTCACTAGTCCCTTGTTACAAACCCATCTCAAGAGTACTGGGATTTTTAGAGACAGCCCTCTATCCTTCACCTTCATGTAGTGGGAAAGGGAAAGGAGTGATCTAAACTACTGTCTACTAACAGAAAGGTTAGATGCACTCTCGCAGTTAACACTCAGAAGTAGTTGTTAGAAGACGAGAGATTTCAGATTTAACTGGCAAGTCAGCAAATATTGGAAGGTAGGCACTCAAATGCTCTTTTATGAGGGCAAAAGAGCAAGATGAGCAGGGCACTTGACAGCTCATACATGGGGTAGACAGCTTGAGCTACACAAGCAGCTGGCTCAGACTCCACAGAGCAGGAACGTGTACAACAGGAAGAAGCAATGCTACAATAACTCAGCAGATAAGGAGTTCTGTTGAGAATTACACAAACAGAATAAGCAGAAGACAGGATAAGATTAGCAACAGGAGATAGCTCCAGAAAATACACAGTTCAGCATGACAGGAAAAAGTGGCTGAGCCAAATAAAGTGCAAAGCAAACCCTACGACACCACAGTAGCTGTAGACAAATCTGTTCCAGAAGGAAAAGACAGCTCCTCATTGCCCATGTGCAATAAGCATTAGTACAAGACAAGATGTGCCAGAACTGAAGCCAGCCAAATTCTAAGATTCCAGTATGGAAAAGTGTTAAACTGCTGAAACAGCTTAAAAGTGGTTGCACAGAATATTTCAAAAGCTTGCAGCAAAACCCTCCCAAAAGAGAGCTCAAAGAATATGATGGAATCTGCTTAAAATATGAAAACTCTGCATCAAGGTGTCAGAAAAACCAGAGGAAGGACCAAAGATGAAGCTTGCAGACACTTGCATGAAGTTAGTGACTTGCATCATCAATTCTCTTGGGAGACAGCAACAGCATACTAGCATGCCTTGCACTTTTTAAGCAGGGCAGAGGTTTGTGGAGGCTGGAATCCACTTGAATCTAATTGAGTGTGTTCTTACAGTCATGGGTCCTGTGGAATGTCTCAGGTCATAAAATAACAGCTGTGACAGTTTTAGCTGATCTCAGCCTTGGATGAAACATCCCAGATCTAGACCAAGTAAAGCTTCTAGACCAGCTCTGACTAGGTGCAGGAGGGCTGCTAGCTGGGACACGGGAAAGGACAGAGGATGTGTACATTGAAAGTACTACTGTTCTATCTATACTGCCACATCCGTGATGGCAGAACCCTACCCTGGCAGTCACAGCTGGCATCACGCCTCGCTTTCAGTAGCAGAACGCCAAGTTAGAAGCTAATCATTTGTCCTTCTTAACGGGTGAAATCTCCTAACTAAACTGCACAAGGAACAACACTTAAAAATGCTGAACCTTTGTTCAACAGCAATTTGCTATTGCTAGAAAGAGGTAGGCTTTGAAGTGTCACAGCAGATGGCCTAGCATCCAAGTTGTCTCCAAGGCTGTAATCCTTTCAGCAGAGCATCTCCTCATTGCGTTAACTGGCACTGGCTTTCTTCTGTGGGACTTGGGGGAATTTTTGCAGTTGGGAAAGTAAGACTGCATCATCTGTTCTACTCTGCTTTTACCACAGAAATAAGAGTACATCCTGCAAAGTCAAGCAGGAAAAGAGATCTGCAGCCATCTGCATTTCTACCTGTCAATGTAGTTACTACACCCACAACCACTGGGAATACTGACTAGTATTACCTGTTTCATATCACAAGGAATATGACTTTAGAGATAGAGACGCATGCCTCAGGTTCAGCAAGTAGCGCACTAAGTAACTGTTCATTCACTGCTCTAAGTACCTACCCACATTATCAGAAATGAGCACTGTCCAAGTCCTAGCAGGTACCTACTGCTCACAAAGCTCTTCACAGAAAAAAAGCACAAACAAAACAAAACAAACAAACACCCTTTTCATCACAGCACCTGCTACTAACAGTACAGTCAGTCTGCCATAAACCTGAGCAGTCCTACAGCAAGGAGAAGGTAAGGCTGCCTCTGGCAGCCAGGCAAATAGAACAGAGGACAGGTTCTGTCAAGACATTCTTGAACTCTTAGAGAGCATCCATGAAGACTTCCTCAAGTTTCAAAGCTTTTTCTAGAATAAAGAGCAGAGGTCCTTAGCCTCTGTCCTTCACCTGCTCAGGTCTGTCTCATAGCTCTGCCACCTGCCGAAGCAGGTCAGCTGAAGGCCCAGCAAGGCCTGGATCACAACCTATAAAATAAATAGTACAACATTCAGACCTTCAGTTTTATGATCTACTGGGTAAGTACCAGACTTTTGTGCACAGCTGTACAACTACCTACAGGCATACTCTTCATGAACTCCTATGGAGTTCGTAGGATTCCTCAATACGGTCAGATCTACGGGTACATGAGATCAGAAGACTCTAGCAGCACATTTGGTATCTAACAGTGTAGAGCACGTAGGAACTAACTGCCTGTGTTGGAAATACATGAGTCTTGCCAACTACACAGGCTGCTATCTGGTAAGAAAGCAGATTCACATTCTTTTGTTGTTATTATACAGCTCAAGCATCTTGACTAGGTAGCCTGTCCAGAAACACACACTAAATCTATCAAGAAGTTCACTTTATGGAAATTTAAAATTCAACTGAATCTTATCAACTTGAAGTCTTCTTGCGAGATGCAGAATGGGGTGGGAAGTTTCCAACTGATGTCATCTTCTCCCTCCTTCATTCTGCCAGGAGGTTTTCCAAGACTCTGGATTTACAAAATAGCTTGAATCCACATAAAGTAAAACCTCAGGACCTTGGTATTCAGCCTTCTGGAAGGCAGTCTCCCCTACTGGAGCAGTACACATCTGGGAAAGCATCCAGGATTCAACTCTTGAAGGCTAAAAAAGGGTCTAAAATTCTGTAGGTATTGGCTTATTATCAAGTGAAGATCATGTGATCTTCTGCCAAATTAAGTGCAGTTAGTCAATACTGCAGCTTCTACAAATTGAATGTTAATTTTCATCTATTCTGCCACAGCAAGTGTAGAGCTTAACAAGACAGCTTTGCCATCTAAGAAGTAGTCCATGAAGTGAAAGAGGTGGTTCAGGTAGGTCATCCAAGCAGATAAGCTTGTCTCTGGAAAGAGACTGAAACTACCTGATGTTGCAAGCCCATTGCTCTCATTCAACAAATATTAGACGATAGTAAGAGGCTCCCCTGCCTAACTCAGAAAGCTTACAGCCAGTCCGTACTATTCCTAGAGCCTCACTACTCTTCTTCTCAAGTTCAGAAAGCTGTACATTTCTGTGTTACACTGTGTTCCATTGTGTTTTGCCATCCATTTCCCAGAGAGACACCACCACAGATGCAGTCATGGCACTTTCCAAGCCTTTTCACACATATCACGGGATTCTCACTTCTTTCCTGAAGCTACAGACAAGTTTCAAATAATGGATTATTTTGCTTTGTGGTGGGCTTTTCTCCCCCGTAAGTCATCACAGCTAAGCTAACCAGAGTAAAAATGAGGGCATTTCCTGCAAAAGCGTTTCCTGCAAACAGTGTTTAGGGCAAGAGCAATAAGCCATCTCCTACCT